CTCCCAGAACCTCGGGGCGGAGAATACAAAGTCCCCTAACCCTCGCCCGAGGTTTGACTCCCCTTCCCACATTGAATCACTCAGTCGGCTAGACCAGCCCTCCAGGGAAACGGGTCTCGAGTTCCCGGGAGGCTGTGCCTTCCCGCTCTGGGACATCCTTGGTGGTTGGGAAGGTCGCAGCCACTCGGGCCTGGGCGAGTGTCGCGGGCGAGAGGGGTGGGGGGCGCGGCCACACGGCGCCGGCCCGGGGTGGTTTTCGCTCGGAGTCGCGGCCAGTGCGGGGCTGCGCCCAGCAAGTGCGTAGCAACGGGATTCGGGACAAAGCTCTGCTGTAGTGGCGAGGGTGGGGGCACTGGAGGGCACGGTGGGGGAGGACAGCTGAAGGTGTGAGGTGTTGGTAGAAATGGAGGAGAAGCGAAACACCTGCTTCTGGTTGACTCATCCAGGCTGGAGGGATAATTTAATGTGGAAAGTAGTTGAAAAAAAGAAAGGAGAGTGGGTTGTGGGCTGTAGCCCTTTCTTACCCAGGCAGCTAGGAAATTGCTTGTCAGTCTGAAAGAAAGCTGTTTTCCTTAGAGGACTGTGGTGAACATCAGATGAGATACTACACATGAAAGGGTAAAGAGCTATAAAAATGTAAGATATGATTTTATTTCGAATACTTCAACCTATTTATCTCTGTGAGTGTGTAAGATGTACACCAGGTGTGGAACAGCAGAACAGTACCAGACATGGGATTATGGGATATGCCCAGTAATGGACTGGGTTTGTAAAGATACTTTAGAGGTACCCAGCAATACTGTTATCTCTGGAAACAGCTAGCTGTCTGTGAAGTTTATCTTATCTGGTTAATGGGTTATTCAGCTCCCTTGCTTCTCTCCTCTCCCACATTTCTTTTGAACTCTTTTTTCAGCCAAAGACTTTTACCCAAAAATGAGCTTGAAGAGGAAGACACCAGTTGCTTTGGGGATATATGGGCTAAATTGATAGAGAGGGAGGTTGATGTGATTGTATGGATAATTTCTTCAGTTTTTCTTGCCCTCAGCATGGAACAGCATGTTGTACAAAGAGCTCTGGGCTGAGGGACAACCAGGGAAGATCTTGTTGTGGATTTGACCCTTCAGTGGACGGGTCACCCTGGCCAAGTTTTAATACCTCTTTGAGCTTTAGTTTTTATCACATGGGAAAAGACCTTTAAGGTCATTCCTGCATTCATCCGACTCCTAGTGAACGCCAACTTGTCATGTTTCAAAATGGCTGAGCTACCCAGTCTCTCTAGACACCCCCGACTGTTAGAAAATTCTTTATGTTGAATCGACATCTGTTTCTCTACAATTTGCACTCATTGGAGCCGTACAGAATAAAATGTCTAATGCTGCTTCCACAAATATTTGAGGACTGCTAACACATTTCCTTCTTCCACTCACTCCACAAGGCTTCTTTTCTTCCGACTAAACATGCCCGGTTATTTTAAACAGGGAGGCAGTGTGGGGTAGTGGAAAGAACGCCAGCTTTGGAGCCAGACACATCTGCGTTCAGTTCCCAGCCCCATCACATACTAACAGTGCTCTGAGCTGCTGTATCTTTCTCTGAAAAATGTAGATGAAAATACTCATCTAGCTGAGTTATTATGAGAATTAGGGATAAATTGGGTGAAGATTTATGCTGTAGTAGGAGCTTAAAATATGAGAGCTGTTACACCTTCAGTGACAGAACTGGCAAAGCATTTGAGTCGATCTTCTCTGAACAAATTTCTGTTCATGTGTCTCTTAATATCTGCTCTGTGGAATAAAATACATTCTGTGAAGTCCAACTAGCAGAAAAGAGCAGGATTAGCTTTTTCTGGGTGCTTCTTTAATTATATCTACAGTCTACAGTGGCTCTTTTGGAGCCATATCACATTGACTCACTGTCGGCTAAAATCCTGAGTCTCTTTATGTGCTGCTGTTCAACCAGGTTTCCCCCATCTTGAACTTCTTTAGTTAATTTGAATCGATAATTACGGCGCTTGAAAGTGGCAGTCCCACTTCTGTCCTGTCTTCTCTGTAAATATCCTTGTGTTTGTCATATTACGGGCCTGAGACTGGGGTTCGAAAAATAAGATAGTTGAACCCGTGGTACCAGCCCTGCTGATCTCACACCGCTGTTGCACATCGATGAGCTGATAAATGCGAAGCTTTCTACCCTCATCTTTGCGTAAATCTGAGGCCTTATTATGTGGGACTGTGTGAGAATTGGAATGTGACAGGAATGTATGATAAGCTACGGCTTGAGGGAATGCTGCTGCATGTGCTGTTGGTCAAGGGTGGTGTTTGTATCCAAGAACTGAAAGGGTGCGCTGAGTGCCAGCCAGAAGCAGGCTTTGGATTTATGTTCGGTTACATGTTTTCTCAGGCGCTCCAATGGTTTTTATACTTTGGGCCAGATTCTCCCCTGGTGGAGGAAGCTTCTCTCTGTAAGTCAGGCACAGTTAGAAAACCCATTAACTGTTTGGCTCCTGGGGCATTCTCGCTAGCATTTTCTCCGGGCTTTAGCCAGGCCGATCTCACTCATAGTATCCACTACGTTTTTGCCTCTGTGCTGGAAGGTTCTTCCAAATAGGAACGCTTCCTTCGCCTAAACGAGTTTCGGGTTTGAAGTTCTTCTCCACCTCGATCCCGCCTTCTCCAAGGAGGTTTTTCCTAGCACTCTGTCCAGGAGGGTTTTTCCTGAGTGTTGATTTAGGATTCCCATTGTCTTCAAGAGCTTCCCTTGATCCCTCCGCCTCCCGGCCCTCCCCCCAGGGGTCTTCCCTCCTGTCTGCCCACTTGTTCCATGTGGGTGGACATATTCCCGGGCTTTCAGAATAAGATCCTTTGTGAGCACTCAGTCCATTAAATACAAAATCGCCTTCATCTTGGAGGTTGGTGATTCTGGCCTGGTGAGAATGAAAGTGCGGAATTGTTCGTAGGACTCAGGTTCCACTGATAATAAATATGGAAAGAAATATAATGCCGAGTTTGTTATTAATAGTTAAAATAGGAAAGTCTTTATTCTGTTGAAAGGACCGATTTAAATTTTGTTAAGTAATTAATTCAGCCCTTAAAAGATGGTGGTTAGTAAAGAGAGGTAATCCTCCCCTTGTTAAGGGAAGTAATTTAAATTTCGTTAAGTAACCAATTAAGGCCATAAAGGGTTTAAATCCATCGGTGGCTTCTCTTTTTTCCTTAGGACAAATTGCAAACTCCTTAGGATGAAATACTCTTTCTAGCCTAATCTTTTCCCTGTCAGCGCCCCAACCCAAAGGACTTGCAGTTTTCCCCAAAGGTTGTGCGGTCCTGGGTCTCCAGTGCTTCGCGAATGCGGTCCCCTCTGGTTGGAATGCTCTTTGTCTCTGGTAAATGTCTATTCATCATTCAAGACAACCCCCCCCCCCCCCTTAATTACTTCCTCCCCTGTGCGCCCTCAAATTCTTGTACTTATTCATGCAGTATTTATTAGGGGCCTGCTTTGTGGCCAGCGCCGAGGCGGGCTCTGGGGATACAAAAGGTGAATAATGCTTGGGCTCAGCCTTTGAGGGGCTTGCATGTTGGGGGGGGGGAACCTGTCACAAAATGCTGCAAGAAAATTAAAGGGGAAATTTAAGCAGCGACAGTTCTTGGGTGGTATCCCCACCGGATGGTCAGCATCTTGCTGTGGAGCCAGGGGCTGTTTCTCCTTCGTCTTTGCATCCCTGCCCCTTAGGGCGCAAGAGGTGCTAAATAAATATTGGTTTCATGACCCTCTGAATCGAGACTAGTAGAAGCGTACCCTGGACCGCGCCACACATTTTGGTGACACGCTTATAAATGGTGGTTTCTTCTATGTCTGGTTGGTGGCCCTCAGCTCCCTGACGCGCTGAGGTGCCCGGTGGGCTCGCCCAGCCCGGCGTTTTGCCCAGATGTCCAGACTCCTGCTTGCCCGCGCTGGAGGAGCGGAGTAGCGGGGTGGCCCCTGCGGGCGCCAGCGGAAGAGAGGCCTGCAGCGCCCCCGCTGGAGGGAGCCGGCCCTGCTCGGGCTGCCTGGCTCGCCCGCCGCAGCCTGCACGTTCGTCAGAATTTCAATTTACAGCCAGAAGACGAGCACAGACACTGTAATTCTCTATACTTTTTAAAGGCGTAATAGATGCTTTTTAAAGGATTATAGATGAAGGGAAAAAAATCCTTCCCTCTTTTCTGTACCACTGGGGCCCTCACATTGTGATTCAATCTTACATAAGTAAAGGGAGCTCTAGTCTCATAATCGTGCCATTTGTTCTTTCTGGCGCGGGACGGGCCAGTGCTGGGAGCGGGTGCCGCGGGAGGGCTGCGGCCGGGCTCTGGCTTGCCCGCCACGTTGCGCTGCCGCAGGGGAAAGGGGCCCGCGCTGCGGCAGCCGAGCGAGAAAGCCCAGACTTCCCGCAAGTTTGGCCCTTTTTGCTCCAGAGCGGCTGCCCCCATGAATCACTGATTCGTTGGGCGGTAGGTCCAGTCGAGCTTGTCGCTTCCTAGCCCTTGGCTGTGCCCTTGGTGGGTACCCGTAGTTAAGGACCTAGGTGTCTGGGCGCTGGCCGACCGCTGCTTTGGCCTGGCCACTCGCGCAGTTCAGAGCCCCTGTTGGCGTGGGTGCCACAGCGGCAGCCTTGGGTCCACCGTATTTGAGGTTGAGCGTCCACCTCTGGGGCTGGGGGGCCTATGGGTGGTCTAAGGGGAGTGTTGGGGTCTCAGGGGTCTGTGGTCTTTTCCTGAGGCATTAATTGCCAGATGAGGATTTTTGCCGCAGAACTTGAGGCTAGAGTTGGGGGCCGTCAGCTAGCAGTGGGGTGATGGGAGGGGTCAACACCCCTGAAGGTGCCCCCGCAGGAGCTTTTGTGGGAGGGGGCGCCTCACCCTCGCAGCAGAGCGGGGCTGCAGGGAGGGGCGGTGTCTGCAGCAGGAGGGGCACTGCAGCGCAGTGGGCGGGTCAGGGGCGGGGCCCGGGTGGGCTCTAAAAGTCGGTGCCCGCTCGCTCGGCGCTGCGGCGGCCACCAGCGCATCCCGGCGCCTCTCGGCGGGCGGCGCCTCCTCTGCGGCAACCGCGCCTCGCTCATTGCCGCAGCGCACGCCCCGATAGCTGCTCGCGGCTTGCCGCGGCCGCGCAGCCCTCGCGAGCTGTGGGTTGCGCCCAGCTGCCGGCCGACCCTGCGCGGCTGCGGGTGCTGCGGCGCGCCCTTTGCTCCCGGCGGGTGTGCAGGCGGCATGGGATAAGACGCCACCATGGTGCGCCGAGATCGCCTCCGCAGGTGGGTGCCGCGGCACGCGCAGGGTGTGTGTGTGTGTGCGTGTGGCTGGTTGGATTGGAGCCGCTGTCCCCAAATTGGATGCGGGCTAGCGGGTGGGACTTGGTCCGAACTGGGGCTACCAGACCATGACTCCTGCAGTGGAGGGAAAATCTCCTGGGATCGGGGAGCGTGCATATCTGTCCTCTGAGCCCGCTCTACCTACCTACTTGGGAGGGGATGTGTCGCCTGCAGACAGTAGAATGTTCGGAACGCCTGATCTCCCTGGTTTAGGATTTCTAGACTTCGATTTAGAAATTGCTCTCCTGTGATTAAGAGTTTCTAGACCCTGGCGTCGCCCTGCGTATTTTAGCATTTCTAGACCCCAGCATTGCCCTGAGTGACTTGGGAGTTTTAGACCCTGGTATTGCTGTGATGTAATTTAGAATTTTTAGATCTCGGCATCGCCCTGGCGCGATTGAGGATTTCTGGACTCCGATTTTTATACACTGGTATTACTCTGATGTAATTTAGGATTTCTAGACCGTGGCATCGCCCTGATGTGATTGAGGATTTTTAGACCCTGCGTCGCGCTGGCGCGATTGAAGATTTTTAGATCCTCGGCATTGCCTTGGCGTGATTTAGGATTTTTAGACCTTCGCACCACCTTGGTACGATTTAGCGTTCCTAGACCTGGGGTTTTCTTTGACGCGATTTAGGATTTGTAGACTCCGGGCATCGCCTTGGCTCGATTTAGTGTTTCTAGACCCGGGTTTCACCTTGGCATGATTTAGGAGATCGCCGATATCATCCTGACGCGATTTAAGGTTTCTAGATCCCGGCATCGCCTTGGTGCGGTTTAGAATTTCGAGACCCCGGGTTGCAGTGGTGTGATTTAGGATTTCAAGACCTGGGTATTACCCTGCCGCGATTTAGGATTTGAAGACCCTGGTGTCGCTGTGGCGTGAGTTAACCGCATAGGTGTGACTAGAACTTAACAGTGTCTTACCACCGAGGCGTAAGTATTTTTTGACATTTTAGTAATGAGCACCCAAGTGAGAATGATTTGACCAAACTGCCATAATGTTACACACAAATTGTTGGCAGTGATTTACAAAGTAGTTCATGGCCTCACTGCAATGCTGTAAAGTATGCAGATTTGAGTGTATTTTTTCCTATTTACAAGATGAAGAAATTGAGGCTCTGAAAGGTTCATTAATTTCCGGGAGGTTTGCTGAATTTATACTCTTGACTCAGGGCTCATCAAATAATGGACATTTTGGTCAAAAAATGTTTAATCCATTTTGCCTACTAAGTGCCTGATTGCTTCCCTACTAAAAGCCCTAAAATGTTGTCAGGGACATTTTTTATTGAGGTAATTGAGACGGAAGGCGACTTCCTGAGGGGTTGCCTCTGCTCTCCTCGAGTAAAAGGGAAGGACGGTGTGAAGTGTGGGGAGAGGAGGGTATCCAGAAGCGGAGTGTATTCCTCTCCCACCCCCCCACCCCGGGAGGAGTGTGTTCCTCTCCCACCCCCGACCCTGGGAGCGCGGGAGCCTCCTGCTGCTCGCTCCCCTATTATCCCCTCCCAGGCTCTCTGCTGAGTCATTGCAGATATTCGGCTGGAACGGGAATGAATGAGATAAGAAGTATGGGGGAGATAAGGAGTGATGAAATATGCAGGTGAAAAGGTATGAGCTGAAGTACAGGACAGATAGCGCTGGTAAACGATAATTTAAACTTAATACTTTTTTGTCATCTCATCTTTCAAGAAGATATTGGGATGTAGCCTGCTACAATTGTAGGGTGAATATTGTGATATAATGATCACTTTCGGGGCACTTTAAAAATAATTTCTTAATATTACCTTGAAAGGTAGAACCAAATCACTAGGTCTGTTTTGTGGGTAGGTACTTTGGAGGGGGAAAAAAAAAGAAAACAGACTGCTCTAGTGATGCCTAAAAAATAGGCAAAGGAACTGAGTTTTTCTAAATGACGTGAAACCACAGGTTTACTTTTGTTCTTTTTTTAAACTCTGAAATAAATAAATATTTCGTGAGCTGGATTAGCTTGTTAGGGATCTTGGCCAGATTACAGGTAACATGGTAGAGGGTGTGTGTACAGACACAAAGGCATTTCCACTGGGACTTTAACCATTAATTCCCCTTATTTGTAGTTCTGTGTTCTGGACAGCCCTTATTTTAGTTTTAGAAGGTATTTCCATTCCGGCTATTTGAGAGAAACTTCCATTCTATTGGTAATTCTTTCCCTGGTGACCATCAGGAGTCACAGAGAATTGTTTCTAATTCCTGTTTAGCACTTGTCATTGTAAATAAATTGATGTGGAACTTTGACGTCCTGGGCATGGGAAGGTTGGGTGTGTGTATTAGTGCTCTCCTCCCCCAACAAAATCAATTCCCAGATGCTCTGCCCTTTTTTGGGGGAGGGGGGTGGGAGGAAGGGGAGTCGTAAGAAATTAAATAAATGAGAGCTTCCTCAAGAGTCTGCTAAGAAAAGCAGAAATATAATCTTCTGCCCTGACCTCTTGAGAGATTAGATATTCAGGGTCATGACAAAGCTGCTTATGTTGGAATATACGGTGCACCTGCAGTCTTACTCTCATAGACTTTTTACCCTGAGCAGTTTCTCAGCTCAAATCCAGTACCAAACGAGGCTTCACTGGAGTCAGAGGGTTGATAAATATTGAAAAATCAAGAGCAGCTCTCTGCTTAAGGACATATGGTGTTACTGCATCTTTGTTTTTTTAAACATTAATATAAAAAATACACATATATGTAAAACATTTTACTGGTGGGGGGGCAGTGGGTAGGTGGTAGAGCTTTTAGAGTAAATATGGAGGAAATTTGCACTCTCCCCCACCCCTCCAAGCCTTGATAAAAGCTAAAGAAAAGATGCACAAAACTTATCATCCTTTTACTTTACATAAAACCTCTACAGCAGGTCTTTTGAAGAGCACAAGGGGAGGGGCTGTGGGGTTAAAGCTGGGGGAAGTTGAGGGGGAAGATTACATATTAAAATAATGTTTTTTTCCCTTAAAGTTAGAATGGTGGGCAAATGTGGTGACTGCCATAGCAGGCAGAGTGCATTTATGTTCTCCTTGGTGAGGCTTCTGCCATGGTTGACGTGGAGGACAAGGTAGTCACCATGTGATACAGAAATTCCCTACCTGTGTTACCAGCCAGGGGCTTGTAGAAGTGTGTGCAGGGTCACGCAGCTGCTTACCCTGGTGTCTGATTTTCCTACAGGATGAGGGAGTGGTGGGTCCAGGTGGGGCTGCTGGCTGTACCCCTGCTTGCAGCCTATCTGCACATCCCGCCCCCCCAGCTTTCCCCTGCTCTTCACTCATGGAAGTCGTCAGGCAAATTTTTTACCTACAAGGGACTGCGCATCTTCTACCAAGGTAAGAACAGGACTCTTGGAACCCTCTGCATGTAAAGGTCCTGTGGGTCCCACTGAGGTACTTATTTTGTGCCCGTTGGTCTCCGTTGCCCCTCGGTGATGGAGGGGAAACCCCCTTTTCCTGTAGGCGCTTGAAGGAATGGATAATCCCCCTCCTTAACCTGATGCAATAAAACTCAAAGAAAACTGCTGGGAGGGAAAGGGTGGTGGAATTGAGATTCCAGTCTCCGTGGACTGACTTGTTCATGTTATTTTTCTTTGTAGCCTGATTTGTACTGATAGATAGTACTGGTTTGCTCTTTTGAGCGCCCCTAGTGTCAGGTGGTAGAAACAGTATTCACAGATGGAGCTGCCACTGGTTCTGTTCCCCGCATCCCTGACGTCATTGTATTGTTTTCTATAAAGATTATTTGTTATATGCATAACTAAATGTGATTTGTCTTACACCTCTATATAAATTAATTTGGTACTAGTTATTGTTATGTCTGCTGCTTATCAAGTAATTACCGTATGCTAGGCATTGAATTACGTTTTCAACCTTCATTATTTCATTTAATCTTTACAACCATATTTGGAGGTCGGTGCTGTTCACCTCATTTTATAGGTAAAGAAACTGAGAAACGAGATTGGAAAAGATTTCTTTTGAGCGGGGGTCAAGAGCAATAACGAAAAATGTTTGTCATAAACCGTTTTTCATTATTGCTCCTGACCTCCTCTCATTTGCTGTATTCGATTAAGTAAGTATATAATTTTCTTTATGTTGGTCATTTAGGTTTCCAGTTTTTCAATGTTTTAAATAGTTAATTTTGAGGGAAAATCTTCATATATGTGTTTTTTTCCTTATTTTTTTCAGTCTGTACTACTTGTAAATGGAATGATTTTATTTGCATGGATTGTATTTTTGCATGTATTCTCAAGAATAAGACTCCTAGGCTAAAGTATATAATATTTTTAATTGCTTGTAAATTAATTTTTGTAAACTTCATTAAGAAATTCTCATGCTACTGGCAGTATATGAATGTATCAGTTTTAATCTAGTACTATTAGCAAGGCTATTTACTGTTTAAATATTTGGTTAATTTAAAAGATTTTTATGCATTAAACAAATGTTCCCATGTCTGTATTGATTAACCTTTTTTAATAGTTGTTAGAATTTTGCAATAATTGAGCATTACCCTTTTAATACTAGATTGAGTTGCCTCTTTGAGAAGTAAAAGTATTGGACAAATGGCATAAACTGAGGTGCTCACCAGGTTAAGGAAAAGTTCATTTATTTTAGAAAATTTTTGTGAGTGATAAGGTACAAAGAATTTATAGTTTGTAAATTATGAATATATCCTTGTAACTATGAAACTTTTTACTGTAGAAAAAGATGTTAATTACATGTTAATTACATGTTACTACAGAATAAAGAGAGAAATGGGGAAGTACTTAAAAAAAATGTAGGTGAAAGTAAGCAGACTGCCTTCAAGTATTTTTATATAAACTGCTACTTACAATTTTTTTTTCATTGAAGTATAGTTGACTTACAATATTAGTTTCAGGTGTACAAAATAGAGATTTGATATTTTTATAGATTATACTCCATTTAAAGTTATTATAAAATACTGGCCGTATTTACAACTTTTAAATATACAGAATAAAAGAAAATAATCAAATGCCTATTCTTACCTAAAGCAGTAAGTTTGCATTTTAAAAAGAAATATGTTATTTAAATTTCATTAATTTGTTCAAGGTTTCTTGTCCTTTATACTAGATTACTTGAATTTTAATATCTCCAAAGTTATTTTTATAGGGAGTCGGCCTAACAGATCTCTCTCCTTCTTCCCAGACTCTGTGGGTGTGGTTGGAAGTCCAGAGATAGTCGTGCTTTTACATGGTTTTCCAACATCCAGCTATGATTGGTACAAGGTAATGAAATCAGACTTTTAGGTCCAACTATGCCTTTAAAAATCTAAAAATCAAGGATTTTGTTGTCAGCACTGGAAGGCTGTTGCATTTTTGAATTGCTTAATAAAATAGGATTAAATGTAGAACTGTTTCTCATTTACTGAAAGGAAGTTAAAGTCTTTGGCAATCTGGGAGGGATCATTGCCAAGTTAAAAATGCTAGAGTTCCTCCGTCAATGCAGATTAATTATTAGAAATAAAGCACTTTCCAAGAGGATCATCTGTGGGCCTGTGGTTTCATGAGATTTCCCCTTTATCAAAGTCTGTTTGTTAAGCTGAGATAGGGATGAAACTCCTTTGCTGCTGTAGGTTGGAGAAGAGGAGGAGCAGGAGTGGAAGGACCGAACCATTCCTTTCTTTCTTGTAGATTTGGGAAGGTCTAACCCTGAGATTTCATCGAGTGATTGCCCTTGATTTCCTAGGCTTTGGCTTCAGTGACAAACCGGTAAGCTGCATCTAGATAGGACAGTGTTGGGGGTGGGAGTGGGTAAGGACGGAGGGTCAGGCTGGCAGACAGATCTGCACACCCCTCCTCCCCCCGACTTCACCCTCTGTACCTGGGCTGTTCTTTCCCTAGAGGCCGCATCACTACTCCATATTCGAGCAGGCCAGCATCGTGGAGGCGCTTTTGCGGCATCTGGGGCTCCAGAACCGCAGGATCAACTTGTTGTCTCATGACTATGGGGATATCGTGGCTCAGGAGTTGCTCTACAGGTCAGTGAAGCCATGACTTCTGTATGATTCACACGTTTCACTCACTGATGATGGGGGTGGTGCATTGTTCTGGGTTCTTCCTGGCCCTGTTCCCTCTTCAGAATCGTCTTCAGCCTCTGCATTGGCGTATGTCCGCTCAGTGAGCCGTGTGTTTCCCTCTTGTCTCTTAGGTTCAAGCAGAATCGATCTGGTCGACTTACCATCAAGAGCCTCTGTCTGTCAAATGGAGGTAATTGCCTTGGAGGTGGGGGAAGAATGAGGTGTAGCCTGGAAGGGCCACGTTCAGATATGGCAGTGACATCTAAGTGGATATAAATCCGATGGTACTGCAAACGGACACAGTTAAACGAGGGGATCTCTGCCTCTTCTGTGCCGTGAACTGCTTTGGTGGTCTGATGAAATTTACTGACCCTTTCTCAGAATAATGTTTTTAAATATAGAAAATAAAATGAATAACTTATTTATTGACATAAGTTAATAAAAAGCTGTGTGATAATAAGCTGTGCTTCTTTTTAAATGTGTTTAACGTATTTTACAGCAAGATCGTGTGGTGGGTCTGGCAACAACTGTGATTAGAAGTAGTGAGGAGCATGTGCTCTTTTGCCATCTCTGTAGCAACTGCAGTGGGCGAGGCAGACAGTTGAAAGGAAGCCACAGGTGCTTCTAAATGCTACTGTGCTTTGTTTCATAAACTCTTTAATTCACAGCAGTGCCAAGTTTCAGTTAGAAATTAGTGAACCCTTGATGAGACCTTTTGGAGATGTTCGTTTTCACCTGCCATTGAGCCTGGCTTGTCAGTCCATGGATATTCAAGTGTCCCCTGAATACCTTAAGGGCAGACGGGAGAGGGGTCTGTTTGTCCCTCCATTGGTAATGCTCATGGCTTTCTCCCATGGACTCTGGGGGAAAAAATGGTAAATGAAGAACTCTAGCTTTTTTTAAGGACCTACACTTCCTGAAAAGTCTCTGGTTTCCTTTGTAGCCCGAATCGTTAGTGACAGTCTGTACTCTGAGGAATGGGAGGAAATGCTAAGGGGGGGTCAGAGTCTAGTCATTGGCAGTGTGGATGACCATGCACATATTTTCCCCTTTCTTTACAGTGGGGAAAGGAATCGCAGGGGGACAGAATTTGACCTGTTAGACACAGAATTCCCTGGAGGAGTAATACATTTTACTAATAAACAGCACTAAGTTTTTATTTGTAATTCTGTTTTTGGGAGTAAAAGCCCCTAAGATGACAGTGAATAGGGTGGATAGTCTCTGATGATGGACCTGTGTTTGGCCTAAAACTGTTAGTAAATGACTAACTTAATTCTCTTCTCCTGCAGGTATATTTCCTGAGACTCACCGTCCTCTCCTTCTCCAAAAGGTTGGTTCTTCCACTGACTAGATCTTTAGTTTTTAGGATTTATATTGACATAAATAATACTAGAACGTTTATAAGGGCCATACCTGCTGTCATGGGCTGTAGTTAAAAACATTTCTTCATGAATTTATGTTAATGAAGTTAGTTTTTTCCTTCTTATGCAAATAAAGCAGTGGAAGTGGCCCCTAGATGAATAAAGCCTTATTTCTGAGAATAAGAGATCAACATGTATTTGGAGAAATACCGCTATCTAAAGATTTGTGTCATTAGCATGTTTGAACAAATGGGGATCCTAGTCTAAAGTTGAATATATCCGTTAAAAGTCTTTGGGACTTTAGTATTGGGACTTAGTGACGTGCAGAAATGTAATCTTAAAGGGAATCGGAAATACATTTGTCTTCCAAGAGAAAAGAATTCGGGTAGGCAAAACAAAAAACTGAAAGCCAGTGATCAAACCTTTGAGTAGAAGATGTGGCTACACTTCTTTTTTACTTCTAGTATAAAACCTTTTCTCCGGGCTGGTTGTCTTCTTTCTCTGGAGTCTTGATTTTTACTTTTACACCTACAGCTTCTCAAAGATGGAGGCATGCTGTCACCCATCCTCACGCGGCTGATGAATTTCTTCGTGTTCTCTAGAGGGTAAGTCATTGTCAGAGACTGATTCACTTCAGCCTGGGAACAATGTGCTGAAATGTCACTGCCATTAAAATTCTGGGCCAAATCTTAAGAGTTTGATATTGAAAGCAAAGGTGCTGACCACTTGCCAGGCCAGTAGTAGAAGGAATCCATAAATCGGTTGGACAAGGGTCAGACAGACACGACCTGAGGTTCCAATTGTACTTGACATACTGATTTCTTCTCACACTTATCTTTCTGCTTTTTTGGACTCATTCAGTCTCACCCCAGTCTTTGGGCCATACACCCGACCCTCTGAGAGTGAGCTGTGGGACATGTGGGCAGGGATACGCAACAATGACGGCAACTTGGTTATCGACAGGTAAGAAATAACCCTCTGCTTTGGTTTCCAGAGAGGCTTTTTTGGAAGTGGGGAATGATGTGGGACTGCTTGTTCTTGCTGGCTCTCTCCCTCTCCTAAGAAGATTGGTGATGACCTATGAGGCAAACCAAAAATTCATGCTCTGTACTTTCTAAGAAGAAAGAAACTGAGAATGGAGTGAGCTCTGAGCCGAAGCCGTTTGGCACAAAAAGTCTGAATAAACAGCTGCAAATTCTAATGCTAATTCAGTTTGTAACTGGCTGATTGACTCTGGTAAATCCGTCTTTGGACCTTTCGTCAACAGTAAATGCTTCAGAACATCTAATCACAATCGTGAAAGGTGTCTAATGCCTCTCAAAGTACAAATCGCTTCCTTTTTCATGTCTTTTCTGTAGCAACAGGGACTGAGAAGGGCAGTTGTACAAATAATTCCCATGTGTTGGTTCAAACAAGCATCTAGCCGCTTTCACAGAGGGGCCTAGAGATGTGTATCCTTAACTACTTGAGATAAGGCCCTGTCTTTTTGCCAGCTGGGTCAGTGTTGCTTCCAGTGTTTTAACTGAGGGCTTTGATGGGAATTGGGAGGTGGCGGGAGCCATTCCTCCCTCCCACCCCTAACTCCCACGGGATCCTTAAGGATTCATTTCAATACAAAAAAATTGAGAAACAAACAAAACATTCTTTTAAAATTCCCTTATGTTTCCCAAAAGGTAAATACCATTTCTAAGAGGTGATAATTGAAATTCACGAAAATAACTGTCCTGGAGTTGCCAGGCAGAATGATTAGAATACATGAATTTGAGTTCTACAATGTAGCTATGACATCTGACACTGTAGGAAGAGGAATCCTCCTCCGTTTTATCTGTAGTCAGATGAAATGCAGAAAATGAAGCCTTGTGCTCATGAACTTCTCCACTGAGAATTTTACAAGTGGATATCAGTTTAGAGATCATGTAGTTCAGTCCTCTGATTTTAAAGATGAGGAAACTGAGGTGAAAGACATGTGTTTGTGTTACTAACAACTTTTGATCACAGTGCTAGTTAGTAGTGGAGTCAAAATTGGACTTTAGGCCCAGACTTTAGACACATATAATCCAGAGTAACTTCCAGCCTTCCCAGATCTCATTCCCTGTTTAATAAACACAAAGAACCATTAATTCGTACACTGATAGGAGGCATGGTCACTGCCATGGCCACATGGTGGTTTACTCCAGAGGTTTACAGAAATAAGTAAATTAAGTGGGCCATCCCGGGAATGCCAGGTTGCTTCCGGATTAAGAAAACATAGGGCCTTGTGGTTCGTGTCAGGCCTCTGCATCCCTATAAACAAACAATAGACGTTTCTTGTTCTACTCCTGCTGACTTTCGTGTCCTACAGTCTGTTGCAGTACATCAATCAGAGGAAGAAGTTTAGACGACGCTGGGTGGGAGCTCTGGCCTCTGTAACTATTCCCAGTGAGTATTTCTATATTACCTCTTGATAGGAAAACTGAGGGATGATGGGGTTAAGATAATTGCCAGACTTAGCAAGTAAAGATACAAGATACCCCAGCTAAATTTGAATTTCAAATAAACAACAAATACATATTTAGGATAAGTATGTGCTGTGTAATATTTGAGACATACTAAAAAAGAAAATCATTATTTATCTGAAATTCAAATGTAACTGGCCATCCTTTATCTGGCAACCCTATTCCCAACATCTGGAACACCAGTGACCTGCATGGTCGAGTGAAGTATATGAAACATGGAGCGCCTATTGCAGAGAGAGCTGGTGTCTCTGTCAAGAGTGGGAGTTAGACTGGTTTCTGTGCTGTGTGTTGTCAGCGGCTGCCATGTTCAGTACTGAACTGCTGGGAAGGCTGGCTGTTGAGATTACTAATCAAGAGGCTATAGGTGGTCTCTGCTCACTTGTCTCTTCATTCTTAACGGGTTTAAAAAGAAATTCATTGTACTACGTCACACACAACGTAATTAGCATTCACGATATTATTGGTTGATTTCAAACGTCAAGGGTAATTATAACTGAAGAGAGAGATTTCAAGAATGAAAGTATTCTGGATTTATAGAAAGAGAATGTTGGAACTGGGGCTTATTCCTTTTGGTCCAGGGCACAGAAGAGATGGAGGAGGGGCTGAATGGCTGTTTATGGAAGAAAAAGTGCCAAGTGGACTAATTTTAAGGCTTGTTCTCAGAACCTACTTACTGAAAGAAGCTAGGCTTTCTATTATTACTCAATTATTGCCAAATTAAAGAAAATCTATTTTTTGCAGGGATAGTTAATTTTAGGGTAGGAGCGGGAGAATAGATGTGCGCTGTTAACAATTCATTCTTCTTCCCCTTCCTAGTTCATTTTATCTATGGGCCATTGGATCCGGTGAATCCCTATCCGGAGTTTTTGGAGCTGTACAGGTGAGTCTCCCCCAGGGGTCTTTGTTTTGTTAGTACCTCAGCCTGCCGGTAGTGAACAGGACTGCCTGTCGAGGGCTGTTGCTCTAGTCTCCTCCGAACTCACTGGCTGTTCATCCAGGAAACACGTAATAAAAGGATGAGTTGGGGAATCTTACTCTTACATAATGTAAAGATCAAGAAACTAAGTTATACATTCTCTTGGTTTATAGAGTCTGTTTTCACTATCATGGTCACTACATATTCAGAGATGTACAGGTAAGAAAAAGCTATCATGTGAACCAAGGAATGGAAGTGGATGTATTTTAAGAAATGTTTGCTTAAGTCTGATTGTAAAGCCAACTTGTTGGTTTCTGCTGGGGAGACTGAGCTGTGGAAAAGTGCCTTCTTATTGGTTGTTACTCTCTTTTGGTACTTACTCGGAAGGTGTCGGAATATGAGACCTTGACTATGTCACATAAAAACGTTCCATACCTTCACATGGCCTAGTAGAAACAACCCAGTAATAAACAGCTTGCATTTAATTTTAAACAAAATACCTTCTCTCACCTCAGGTTAAGCAAGGTCTTTTGTTATTTTTACTTGGACAGTGAGTTGTTAAGTGGTCTACTTGTTTGATGCCTCATGCTTCTCTAAGGAGCTGGAAGTCATCCTGCTTTGACATGTGTTGCATAAGTGTTATATTTTCAAGTTGTTGTCTGTTGGAATACGAGCATTTAAAAACTAGTCCGTATACGTCGTAAATGGAATTGGCGGGTTTATCTGCCTAAGATACAATTCCAAAGTAGAAGGTGAATAAGCTCTTTGTGGTTCCTTCCAGTGTGGTATGTCCGCAGGGCATTTACTAGGGCTGCCCACTGGCTTACATCCCTCCCCCTCCCTCCAGCCTCAAGTTTACCTACGTGCTGTTCTCTTCCACTAGGAAAACGCTGCCGCGGTCCACAGTGTCGATTCTGGATGACCACATTAGCCACTATCCACAGCTAGAGGATCCCATGGGCTTCTTGAATGCATATATGGGCTTCATCAACTCCTTCTGAGCTGGAAAGAGTAGCTTCCCTGTATTACCTCCCCCATTCCCTTACCTGTTGTGTACTCCACTTAGGAAGAAATGCCCAAAAGAGGTCCTGGCCACCAGACACTATTCTCTCACAAAAGTCCACCTGACTCACACTGGTGAACAGCAGGTAGTAAAAAGCCAGCAGAAGCTCTAAGGGTGACCTAATAGTCCACTTTCTGCTCCTTTGACATCTGATCAAGTGTATGGACCTGCCCTTGTCTTTGTGGTATTAGGTAATTCTGATGAACACCACTACTCACTTTTGTAGAAAGACAGACAGACAGACGTGCTTTTGCATAAGTCTTTGAAATGCTTCTGTGGACTTTTCTGAAATATTCAGAAATGCTAATTTCTGGCCCAACCTGATTGGAATTATATTTAGTGTAAGAATGAGAAGAAGGTGTGTCCTTAACCTCTCCTTGAATGGCTTTAAGGGCAAATGGTTTTTTAAGTTCTCTAAGCGGCATGCCTTCAAGTGAGAGTGAGTCTCCCTTGTCATAACTTTGGGTTTAGTTTCAGCAGCTGCTTCTAATTGTAGACATTTTGTTAGATCGTAGTTTAAGTAATGCAGTATTCTAAGTATACCTTAAGACTATGATTTACCTACATGTATTATATATACATTTTTATAAGGATACTAAACCAGCAGACATTTACTCTGGCAGAGCAGTTTAACCTTATTAAACATGTTTAGTTTCTGAATAAATTGAACTAAATCCAAACTATTTACAGAATTTCCTAAAATCACAGGACGTTAAGGACCAACAGCATCTGTGCCAGAGATTTACTGTTATTTGCTGCTAGGACTGGTCTTTCCAGCTAATGACAGTCGGACTCTTCATACCTCAGTGCTTAGAAATGTCCCTCCTGAGCTAGAGTGGAGGGGAGGGGATCGTTGTCCAGTCCAAGTTACCAGGCTGAATGTATACTGATTGCTTAACTTCTCGTTGGTTGTCCCAGAGAGGGTTCCTCATGTAGCTCAGCCATTCCTGTACTTTACACACAGGAAAGTTCCAGAAATTTTAAGAACAAATTCTGAAAGGCCTATGAGCAAATGGTGCTGAATACTTTTTTTTAAAGCCACAATTTCATTGTCTTAGTTAAAAACAGGATTATTAAGTAATTATTTAAAATTTTTTTTATTAGCAACTTCAAGTATAACAACTGAATCTGGAATAAGTGTTTATTTTCCATTAATAAAAATGAATTTTGACAAAAGTGGACTCTGGCTCCCCCTCCCCTACCACCCCTCTGGGATAAAAGCTTTCCAACATTGCCAGGAGCTTTCAGATACACGTTAAATTAAAGAATATAATGAAGTTAAGCAGCTGGGGTATAGGATAGTATCTGATTTTCAAGATCACCCAAAGCTGTTATTATCACACCAAAGCTGACTGAGTGTAATAAAAAGGAAAAGGAACAACAACAGAGAGACGTGCATAAGGACAGACATTTCCTTGATCTGCTGGCTCAGGGCCAAACATTTAACTTGCTTCTCCAAAGTCATTAGTTTTTAGAAGTATGATTCTGGGAAATTCATGCCACTGGCCTGAAAGCCCACTGTGTCCCCGACATCCGCTTCATCTTGCCCAGTAAAAACTTATCCAACAGAAGCCAAGATAACATCTACAGGTGTCCCCTCTTTGCTTCTGACAGTCACCTGCATGGTCACTCCATCTGCTAAGGCCAGCCTGGACCTCACCAACAGGTCACAGCCACCTCTGTATATACCTGAGAGAAAAAAAGTGAGGAGAACCATGTTAATTCAAAAACACTCTGAATAATGAAATTTATCATACTCTGCCTGCATTTCCTTTCTATTACTTTAGTCTAGCTTTTCTAGAGATTTGTGCTTATGCTGGAAATTGAATCTTATATACAAATTCTAATCTCTTATATTCCCATAATACCAGGTACATAGAAGGTACTCAATAATATTGGTACAGAGTACTTAAAGGTGGGGGCATTGATAGCTGAAGGAGAGATTTGAGTGTTTCAGGCCAAAGAGACATCTTAAAAGAACGAGCTAAGAGTAGCATGCAAATTACTCATCCTGATGGGGCTGCAAACTGTAACTCCTACAGTGAGATAACGGGATGGTAGCAGGGTGTGAGAGGCCCATGCACATCCTTTTCTATCAAATTTTGCAACAAAATTAAGGGAGAACATGATAGAAGTTTCTTACCTGCCAGATAGAGGGAATGGGAATTTTTATTCTCAGGTACTTTGTCTGACCTCTCGCAGGGCTGCATGCCCAGAAATGTGATGATGTTGTTGACAGCTTCTGTGTTGAGAAGATAGATGCAACAGTATCAGAAAAGGTCAGTGTAGGGACCTGCCTCTGCACTGGTGTGTGCTGGGGGTGGGGGTGCAGTGGTCGGGGCTGGTGCCAGTACATGGAGGGAGGCTGCAGGACTGGAAACTGGTTGACTCAGGTGATAGATAGGGTTCTGGCCTTTTAAGTGAAACAGTTTATGAAGTATTTAAAGAAAAGGGAGTCCTTCTGGAATAACAGAGATGCCTATCAGGTGTTAGACTGCTATCAGGCAATATACATGGGTAGAGCAAGCTTGTTCTTACCTTCAAGAGTTTTAGTAGAACTGAGGGCAAAGGTCTCCTCTTTCTCAAAGGTGTCTCCTATCTCTTCCCAGGCAGCAGCGAAGTTAGGCTTCATTACCTTCTGAATGTGGTCAGACACAGTCACTTCAAGATCTTCTAGCTGGTGGGTGATAAGCAGGGGTCAGAAAATGAAAGTCCTCTTAGTACAGAGCAAAGATGGAAGAGACTAGTTAATCTGGTTTTATCATGCTGTGTTAATAGTCTTTGCAGGAGCCTAGAAAAACTCTACTACCAAACTAGTTTTAAGTTCTGTAGCCTGGATAAATCTAATAGTGTAGGCCCTCGCAAAGGAGAGCAAGAAAGCAGGCCATCTGGCAAGAGCCATATTCAGATCAACATCTGTAGACTGAGGGTTCAGAGCAGTCAGGCTGCCACAAGTAACCACCGAGTTCAGGCCCTACAAGGCCTTCTGAACTCCGCATTCACTAAAAGGTTGACTTTTTAAAAAACTTTTCCCTGCATTGTAATGTGAAGGCTTTTCAGTCCACAATGTGGTTCTATTATAAGCAAACTAAAAGCTGCTGCACAAAAACAAACTCCCCCCAAAACCAAAGAAGTCAGTAGTTTAAATAAAACTGATCTCAGTGAAAATTTCAATGAAAATGTAATTATTTTCATGTCTTAATTATCCCTATTATAAAGACAATAAAGAGTGGGTTTTGTTTTAATCAGTCATGAAGTGGTAAATCCCAATTCTCTGTGGCATGATGCACTCCCACTACAGAGGAGGAGTAGCCCAGGTCCTCCTCAGCTGTAATCTGTTTGAAAAGAATAAAATCCCATAAGTTGATGTCATATGTTCCTAGAAAAATATTCTCTCCAGGCAGAAGTCCCTCCGTGGTTCACGGGGTCCAAGTGAGTCTCTGTGCAGGGGAGACTCACCACGTACTCATCATCATACCCCTCCTCCACTGGAACCCCCGTGTCAGGGTCACAGTCCCGGACGGTGAACTTCATGGTGCAGCTAAAGGTGCCTGCAACTGGAGGAAAAAGAACAGGTGAGCCTATGTCAGTGGGCAGCGCAAGCACAGTCCCCATCAGTGGCTTAGGAAGCACCACCTGCCCTGGGCTCTGTTCTGTACTGTCCAGTGAAACGTGCAGGCTGCTTCCAGGGCTGTAGTTCTTACAAGCAGCCTGGAGGCTGGACTTGCCCCGCCGTGGGTGTGAGTGGTATGGAGAAGACCACATGGGCACGGCTCCATTTTCCTATTCAGATATAGAAAGCAGGGGGTATAGCTCAGCGGTAGAGCACCTGACTGCAGGTAAGGACGGCAGTAGGGGAGATACTTTTAAAGGGGCTTTTGGCCATGCCTGTCGAAACGTAAGAACAACTACTTTGGGAGCCGATAAACAAAGCATAAAATGTGGATGGTCAAAAGCACACATCATTAAATTAGTACTGGCCAAGTCCACTGGAGTCTCAGTATGTTTAGAGGTACTGTCCTTGATATCTGTAGATTGTGGACAGACAGTGGGTTCATAAGTCACCAGAATGAACTGGCTTCATGACAGCTTTCAACCTACAGTGAGTAGGTCAGTCAGTAATGAAGTTCTAATGTTGGTAAAATGAGTGTCTTACAGTGGAAAAGCAAGTGGGCAATTATATGTTTTCAGATAATGGGTGGAAATGATCAGAAATGAAGGAATATGAAGTCTTCATGAAGAAGGTAGGAGTTTCTGAACTGTCTGAAGGAGAGGATTTATTAATCATGGATAAAGAAAAGGCATTTAGAATCTAGGGTCTAATCCATGGTCTGGAAAAGGCTTATAAGTAGGTTTTACATACACACACACACACACACACACACACACACACACACACTAGAAATCGGGAAGTTGGAAAGTTATTTAGGGGACAGGCAGGAACAAGAGAGAATAAACTCAAATGTAAAGACCATATATGACAGGCTGGCTAGTGAGACTTTTATTTGCTCAGTCTTAATTTAAACTCACTCCCTTCATCCAAAATGTGGAAAAAGTCAATATGTTTACAGTAAAAGGTGTAAACGAATGTGCCAGACCCTTAGATAAAAAGATGACTGAGACATGAGCTCCTTCCTCACGAGCCCATTGTCTAGGAATTGGATAAGATCTACCTAGATACACCTATGACATTACAATTCAGTGTCACAGGTTCTCTAATATAAGGTTTAATGGAGTGCTGCATGGGAGTGCAGGATTAACAGCCTGGGAAAAGTTTAAAAAATTTGTAAGGATATACACACAGTTTAACTGGATTTCAAAAGATGCAAAGGGGCTTTGGCAAGCAGAGGAAGGTACACAAGCTAAAAGAAAGGCCAGAAAGGCCATGGTGTAATTGGAAACAGCAAGAGAGATGCTAATACACAGGTGCTAAGAAGAAAATTTGTTTAGGAACAAATCTGAAATATCTTATATTTCAGATGAAGGAGACTAGATATTTTCCAGCAGGCTCTAATGAGCTGAGGCATTCGAGAGACTGAAATGTTATGGATAATTAAAGCCACTGGTAGGAATCCTATGAAGAATAGATCTGAATTCAGAGAGCAAGTAAATTTAATAGATGTTAGTAGTGGGTTGACCCCTGTATATAGGAAAGAGTGTACCTATTGAGACCACAGAATCTTTTAATACAGTAGGGGACTGATGAAAGAATGCCCTTTGTTAAGGTAGGGTGTTCTGCAGGAGGAAGGAGGAAGAATAAAAGAAGTAGAAATAAACACAAACCTAGAATGGGTCAGTTGAGGTGTTTAAAAAAATTAAAGGAGCAAATTGGGATTGTGGTATAGACAAAGGTCATGATCAAATTAAAAACAGAGAGGCAGGATAGATGTTGAGTAACAGATAGTGATATGAACCCTAGTTTCGTTCATGGAGGCCGCAGGCAAATGAGGAAGAGGAAAAGGGGGAGACAATCAGGAACAATGGTAGATCACAGACTGGGCAAACTGGATTTTACGTGTAAGTAAAGACAGAAGACATGTATCTAAGTGATAAGGAGAAATGGATTAAGGAAGCAAATAGGAATGGTATTAATACAAATAATGTTCCTGGAACAAATGGTTTGGTTAATACAGTGAGGTTACAGGGAATCTAAGGTGAACTCCCTTAAAAACCTTTGGGAGCAGTGTCACTGTTGTGAGAAAGGATGAGTAACGCTGGGTGATGAGGAGGGGGGTGAGAGAGCCTTTCCATGCCAACATAACAATGCTGAGTCCAATGCCATATTTAAAGATGAAAGCTTCATGAGCAAAGCAAGGCAGAAAATCAGAGGGAGTAAGAGGAGAATACCCTGCAGATGTACATTAAAATTGTTCTCAGAAATGAGGCTTATTTTGTAAGGATTGACTGAAAATAAGAGACAACTACTGAGGAGACTTGTGTGAAGAAAAACTTAGAAATGCAGAATCAGCACGGGAACCCTGGTGGGAGTTGCCAGGTCTCAACCACTGGAGGGAATCAGAGAAAAGATGGATGCTAAGAAAGGAAGGAGCCGTGTGAATTAGGCTGGGGTGCAGGGCATGCAGTGTGGCATATGGCATCATGGGACTAAATAAATGGGGTCATGAGGAGATCCCAGAATGCTTTGTTGGAATGACAGTTACAGAAAAGGATGTGGTCACTAGGGCAAAAGAGGGCAGGAGGGATGGACCTGAAACACAGGCCAGCCGCAGCAATCCACACAGGTCTGGACTGAGCCGAGAAGGAACGGATGCAGGAAAGTGTGCAGGAAATCAAGGCAGATGAAAGCAAGTCGAGCAGTGGGTGCCCCAAATGAGGACTACATGCCTGTCAGGAAAACGCTACCTATGTGGCAGGAGGGATGCTAGAGGTAAGGTTTTTCTCAAGGATAAATATTGGAGGAAATGAAGAAAGGTATAGAAAAATAAGGTTAAAGTTGCCCTCAGATGGTAAGGAGCGGGTAAGGAATAACAGACATCAGCTGGAAGAACAAGACAGCATTCTTGGGCCGAAAGTCACAAGGGAATAAGAAAGAAAAGAGACTAGAAGCAAAGAAAGGAAATGCTATACAGAGTGGCGAGCATTTGAGGCAGAGCAGGTGTGGAATTAGGATCTTGAATGGGGAATCCTGGCAGAGCTCAAAACAGGTCTAATTGGTCACATTTTGGATGTAGAGACTGTACTGCAATGAGGATTATACAGAGAGTGAGGAGTGAGGACCTGAGTAGTAGATTAGCTCCTGAAGCACCAATTTGGAGGGAAATTGTTAAAGGACTCGGGTAACAGAAAAGTTTCAAAGAAGCTGCTTATGATGAATGCTGAGAAGAACCTATTGCTGGCAACTTTACAGAGATGAGGTTCCTTACTAGAGGGTGAGAACAGGTGTTTGTCCAGAGAAGAGATGACTGTAGTAGATGAGGAATGGGTGAAGATTCTGAGGCAATCCATCTGAAGAGAGGTAATCTGCATCCATTCCTTCTGTAGAGAGATGGTAAGTGAAAGGGTGACGGGCAGGTAAGAGATGGTAGGTAGATGGCTGCATAGTGCGCCATTACAACTGGTTGTTCTTAGAAGTGACCCTGCCATGGCTAAAAGTGACAGACATTTCCTAGGGAGACTTGTATGACAATATCATGGAGGAAGAGAGAAGGAAGATGGAGGCTGGAAGCTGAAAACAGAGGGAAGACACGGGATCTGAGCGGGGGTGTCGCCTATACGGTGTGAGTAGGGAAGGGCGTTAAAGGGGGCCAGAATGAGGAACACTGGAAAATGGCAGGGCTGCATATGAAGTAGAGAGGTGTGAGCTAAGCTAGATTACAACCAAAGAAGGAGAGAGAATGAGGTGGAAGTGGCTACTAAGGCTGGTATTAACGAGGGAGTCCCTCACTGACTGGGGACCTTTGCTTGAATGGTATTTGAAGCAACAAGTGTGACCAGTGGAGTGAAATGTTCGATTCTAAATGGGATGTATCCAAGCCACAGCCAGTGGAAGGAATCCCATGAAAGTCGGCACCGAACTGAGAGGGCAAATGTATTCAGAATAGTGTGGAGGAAACAAGGAAAATGAAAGAAAACAGTACTCAGTCCATGAGAAATGATATAAAGATGGCAGCTGAAAAGCCGAGTAACTGTGTAGGTAGCACAGGTGTTTCTCTAGGGTCAGTCAAGGAAAGGGTGGAAGAGCCTACAGAAGAGATGGGGTCCTTTGAAGCTGGCAGGTACTGGCAGGAGGGATACGGCACCGTACTTGTACCAAAGGTCATGATTAGATAAGGAAGGAGAGAGACTGGATGCTCTGTAAAGGGAGCACCATACAAAGAGGTGCAGAGAGCAGGTGGAGTGGCATGGGCAGACAAGACGAGGGAGAGAGCTTCCCATGGGGGAGGTTTTACGATGGGTCGGCTTGGTCAAATGATGGCTTGTAATACCAGACTGTGAAAAGCAGTACATATGGTGGAAGAATAGGGTCTGAACAATATGGGAAGTTTTGGTGGGAAGTTTTAGGTAGGAGGGTTAGAAGGAGATGGATTAAGATATGAACCCTGATGTAAAAACACACCAGCAACCTTAGAGACACGAGGATAAAATCTCTTGAGTCATTTGTCTGTAGCATGGATGACTAATCCTGGGAGATGACTGGCTAAGGATCTCGTAAGCTCCAGAGTAAAACTTCTGTTATTTCCATGTACAGATGGTAGATGAAATTATACTATATGTAACTAATTATGTGGGAGGGCAAACCACCAAAGGGAGATACAAATGCGTATCATGCAAATGCCACATTAAAGTTATTCTTATTTACTCTGTCATGTGAAGATTCTCTGAAAGTCCGAGACAGCTACTGGGGAGAGAACCTGGCTAGGGAGTGCCGCTCTGGAGGAGACTGAATCCACCCGAATGAATATAGATGGTAGCAAAAAGAAGAGGAACTGAAGATATAAGGTAGTATATTTCTTTAGGGCAAGACAGGTAACAAGGGAAAAGGAATGGGAGAGTAACATTACAGGTGCCCCCAGATTAAAGAAGGTCATCCGAAGAATGACAGGTATTGACTGGAGGGAGCAGATCCCATATTTGGGCCAAAAGACACAGAAGAAGTGGGGCTAAAGCTAAGAGGAGTGTTGCAGAGACTGGAGAGCGATTCTGAGTAGGTGGCCTGGTACTAAGAAAAACTCCATGCACCATGCAGAATCCCAGTATGAAGAATCCCGTCAGATGTGAACATGGGCCTAGCTGGTCCGTATGTG